GAAAAATTCTAAGTTATGAAAATTCTTCATTTCAAACCCTAATTTGTGATTTTTGATTTCTTGATGAACAAGTTTCAAAATTTAACATGTCTTGATGAAAAATGAATCTTGACACTTGATTTTGACCAAAAAGTCAAAGTTTGACTTTTCAGTATACAGTCAAATTTGGCTCAGTTGACTGGAAAATTCATCTGTCAATCTTATGCATTTGGGATCTTTTGAACTGGTTGAACATGTCAAGACAATTCCATGGGGTCCTTGAGTCCATATGTGAGCTTGTTTTGCCATTGGTTAGGTCAAACAGTCAAAAATTGCCTTTGTGCAGTCAAAACCCTAAAAATGACCATTTTGCCCTTTTGGTGATCTGATCAAATTTCTTGTGGAATTGTGATCCAAACTTGACCAAATGGTTTATATGAGTTCATAATGTTGATGTGGATCAAAAAATCATGAGGTTTGACTGTCAATTGGCCATAGTTGACTTTTTCCCCAATACAGTTGATTTCTAGGTCAACTGTCCAATTGACTGGGCAAAGATTGGAATCAAGGCTTGAAACTTGGTATGGGTAAACTTGGGAGTCCAACATGAAGCATGAAAGTCATCTTAGACATTTTAGGTCAAAACATCTTTGTGCAAACACAAACCCTAATTTGGGTCAACAGTGCCAGGAGAAGTCTTGAGCAGAGGAAACCCTAACTGGATCTTGAGCTCCAAGGGTCTTGTGATGAGAAAATGTTGAGGAAATGGGAGGGAAAATTTTGGGGTACAACATAAAGCATATCGAGACACTGAAGCCAATGAGATTTGTCAAATTTGTCTAAGTACTAATCCAGAAAAGAAGTTACCTAAAGTAGAGGCTGAGCGAAAAATAAAAGATCACCACGAATCAGAGATTGGCAATGAGAATTACGCCTCTAGGAAATAAGAAAGTTGTGGAAACCCAGAGTGCATAATACACTCATATGACTGAAGATGAAGATGAAAAATAAGAAGAGTACAAACCTCTCCCAGAAGACGAAGGGGCGATTATGACCCTTTTGAGGATGACATGGTTGGCAACGACTATGGCGAAGACTTTATCATTAACTGCGACACCGTGTCTCTTTAATTTTGAGAAATTTTGAGGATTTTGGTGACCTCTTTTTTATTGTTGATATCCCTAACTTTTTCCTAAATTGTTCATTTGAGATTACAGTCAGCGGGATGCCCCGATTTTTTTGCCTAAGTCTCCTTCATAAGTTTTGACTTAGCAGGCTTTTATTTGATTCTTTTTTTTCTTTAGAAAGATAGTGATTGGCTGACTTAATGTTATTGGGGAACCGTCATCATCACTTTTGATTTGGAGGACATCTTCGACACTTCTTTGATGTGTGCGAAGGAAAACTTATAGTTGAAGCCTTTATTGAAAGGTGTCTTGCATTTGAATGCACAACCAAATTAACTGAGAACTACGCTACCTCAGGTTAAGATTGTGGGTTTTTTCGTATAGAAAGAAACTACAACTTCTAGGCTCAAAGGGATTGACACTGGATTAACTTACTTATTTCTCCAGTGTTTGGAAATTGAAACAATGTCTTACATCATCAGTATAATTTTATTTGAAAGCATACCAACAACATTTATGGGTATTTCATTTTCATAATCCTCCCTCCAATCTTTGCAAAAACTAAAGCTTGATAAAGAAAGTAAACATGAGATATATATATTTTGAAAAGAAAGTAGTAAATGAAAATAAATTGAATTAAAATATTACAATGCTCATTTCATTAAAATTAACATGAAGGTACAAACAAAATTCGAAAGCAACAGTTTAACACAAATAAAGGAAAATGCAAACAGAAAGAAACATGGCCTAGTGACTAATCAATAACAAGGATGAACTGTCATGTTTGAAACACTGGCTTTAGGAAGATAGTATGGCTCTGAATGAAGCTTCACTTGTCATGCCCTGACAGTGGATTGTTGTTGACAATAGGACATGTATCTTTGAAGGAAAAAATGCCTTAATCAAATCATGAACTCTAGTATACCATTCTTCTTCTGATGTTAGCTCTAGTTCTATACTTTTGTTAAGGAAACAACTTGACAGTAGACAGTCAACCGGAAGAAAGAGACAATCGAAAATGAGATCCTAGGCAACCTAGATGTATGCATGAATGATGTAGATGATGCAAATGATATACAATGCAAATTCCATGTTCCAATATTTTTCAGGAACTTATAGGCTTTGATTCATGTTATTAAGCCATCGTATCCTTCTTGACAATCTTCATATTTGAGACGGCTTAACAACTTGAATCAAAGGAAAGATGCATGGAAATAAAGGAACATGTATTCAAGTATATGGGATCAAGACGAATAAATGTTGCATTGTTCTGAACAAACTGAATATCACAAGACCAAAGCTCTGACACCAAATCAGAACACAAAGGAACCGAGTACCACGAGGATCAGCATATGTACCTGTAAGAATAATCTCTCCCCACTCACGGGTGAAGTCTAGGTCAAGATTAGGTCAAAAGGAAAATCAGAGTCGTGAGTCCTCGTGAAAGTACTACCATCATAACACATTCGTGCGTAACAATAGTACCCCATTTGAACCTCGTCTGAGCGTGTCTCTCATGATCGGACTAGTAAGACATACGCCTCGTAGCCGTCATGACTATCTACTCTAATCCTACGTGTTCCTAGATGAACTCTCTGGCCTGGGTACTAGGACTTCTACCTCAAATTAACATCTCACCCAACCTGAAAAACTAGAAAATCTAGCACAACACAACATATATACGTAATAGTGGAAAACAATAAAATGCAATAAATAAACAACAAGTAAAGAAAATAGATAAACACACAAAGAAAAAGAAAACAAACAAATCTAAGATCGACCCACTTAGGAAAGAGTCCCCAGTGAAGTTGTCAATCTATCGCACTGTAGCAAAAAATGTAGCGTTAAAAAATTTGAGACTAAGCCATTAATTGACTTAACTCATATCAGTGATAGTCGCCACCACAATTTATTATTTCCAAAGGGAAAATGAGAAAAAAAAACGAATAAAACACAAAATGAAATAGAATAGAGATTAAGGTACGATGGTCGGTTATGCAAAGGAAAGATATTAGCACCCTAAACATCTACGGTGTTCCACATGGTCCACTTTATTTGTTCTAATCAGAGAGTGTGTTATCTAAAGTTTAAACTTGCTAAAGGGAAATAATGAATGAATATTTACAAAAACAAAATGTTTTTTATTATTACGCCTTCCGCGGCTGCGAACCTTTGTACCGACGTATCCCCTTCGTGCAATAAGGGATCAGGGCGCTCGTAGTTCTTCTAAAAAAGAATAAAACTTGATGTGTTGATTGATTTTAAATGAAGAGACAAGTCGTCATTTTTAGGAGATAAATCTCAACTAATCACCCACAAGATGTGAGAAAGATGGATCGTGCGTCAACATGAGTAGGGTTTGGAAACGCCTCTGGCACTCAAGTGGAAAAGTCGACACCGTTATAACCATGGGGTTAAGAGAATGATATCTCGACTATAAATGAATCATGTCTAATCTTGAAAAAAATTTAAAGTGAAAAGGTGCACGAGGGCACAAAAAAATTATGAATGAGTTAAAGTATTTTGTTAGCTTGAAAAAGGATTTATGAATTGAATCGTAATAAAGTCCGAAAATGGAAGAAAGAGCAAGGTTACCGAATGTATCGCCTCACTAGTCCCCATAAGACTCAACTGCATACGATTCACATATTTGTTTGTTAAATGTTTTAAGTTTTGTTTAAGAAAAAAAGAATTTTCAGAGAAAAAAAATGTCGCTTGACAAAATCAAGGTTTATTATAAAAGTGGTTTGAGTTTAAAGATACAATAAGGTTTTGAAAAAAGATGAGAAGGTTTTAAAAATTAAAGAATGGGAAGGAGATGAAGAGAATATCTTATGTACAAGAAATTAAAAACTAAGGTAAGGAAGATCTGGCCAAACAAGAAATCAATGCTTACAAATAAAGTCAATAAGAATTCTCATCATTTGAATTAAAGCCACAAACAAAAAATAAGACAAGAGTATACCGAACAACAGGTGAGAAAAAATCACAGTAGACAGTACATCAGATAAACCCAAGGTATCAGATAAGTGCAATGTGTCATGATAAAGCATCAGATGATTATCAAATACCGAATAAGAATCTCTGCATAAGATAAAGTCAACAACACAAAGAAACTACTCAAAAAATCTCAAATAAGGCTCAAGAGTAAGCTACACTCACCATGATAAATTAAATCGAAATGATCATAACACCAACCAACATACATTTATCCTCAATCAAGAAAAGAAATTCACAAAGAAATAAATCCAAACAAAATCAATGAAAAAAATAAACCATAAAATCTAAACTAAAAGAAGAAATAACTAATTAATCAAAAATTATTTAATTAACTAATTTTCATCATAAAAAACAATAAACAACCAAAACTTTTTAATTGAAATTAAACCAAAAGGAAACAAGAAGGGTGCATATGAGCATATGAGCATATGGTGAGTGTAGAGTATAGATTATATGTAGCAATTGATCCATGAGTCCAAGACTCAACCCCCACAAATATCTTACATATAATAATTCTCATTAACAAAATTTGAAAGAAAAAAAAAAAAGGAAACAGTAACGTGACAATGCTAGTAGTATCACATATGTAACCATTTTGCAAGTGGATGTCAACTTGAAGTTAAAGAAAAACAAAGTAAAACAAAATCTAAACATATTAGTCATTATTACTAACCAAAGTTTATAGAAAATAAAGGAAAAATGAGTTTCTCAAAATAATAGCCTAATCACAATTTTTTTAATTAATGATAATGCAATTAATAAAGTAAATAATAAAAAAAAAATAGAAACAATAACAGTAACAACATGGGATGACGTGGATGGTTGAATAAGTGAATCCCATTTAAATAACCCAAATTATATGAGTAAGAACTCAAATGGGTATGATGGACGTGGATGCGAGTCTCATTCTACGAGAGTGTTGAGTTGTTCATGAAAGGGGGTGATGGTTTGAAATTCACAGTGGGGTGTTCTTCAGCGGCGGATTGGCAGGATGTATTGCGTGAAGAAAGATGGAAGGAAGTTGGGGAAGAACCAAGGATGAGCGGAAGATGTGAGTCTGAATCTAAAACAAATTTCAATCAAAACTCCTCTCCTCTCACATTCTGTTTCTATTTGTTTCGTTCAAAACTAATCTGATACCACCTCTACCACACTCTTATCTCATATCTCTATTATATACCCAAATTTTAGGTTTAGCAATTTTATTTAATCCCCAAAACACCCTTTTTAGATATAATCAACATAAAAATTAAAAGAATAAAAATAAATATAATTTAAAATGTTTTTATTTTAATTTTATTAATAAAAAAAATATTTAAAATAATCAAAATCGATAAAATTTAGACACTTAATTAACCGAAAAGAAGTAAATACATTAAAAATTATTCGAGATTCCAAAGATTAATAAAAAATTACTCAAATAGTCAAAATCGAAATAAATAAAAAAAATATCAGGTTGAAAAAACACTGACGATTAAGAAAGAGATTGTAAATTGTATCGAAAAAAATAAAGTAAGAATACCGACATGATCTACGCGTAACACAGATTCACAAAACAGTTAGTAAAAGATGAAAATTTGATATATTATCTCGCTAATTTTTTGCACAGTGTTGAATCACTTTTAACGGTATGTCTGTAGACTCGAGATATCAATATTATCAACATATAAACAACTTAATGCAATGCATGAAGCGGATAAAGAGATAAAAATGCATGAAGTAAAATATCAAATATTTTTTAACTATAAAACAATGCAAATATCGATTTAAATTGATTTTTAGTCAACTGAAATACGACTAGTGATACAAATATGATGAATGAAGATGCTTGTTGAATGATTGTGACCAAATAACAAAATATGATATGATAATGCAACTAAAAATTTAGGGGCGGAATTTAGGGTGCAACATGATATTCGACCACATAACATGGTTTTATCCAACTACAAAGGAAAAACCAGCATCATACTAGGAGTGTTTCAAATCGAATCAATAATTGACACAACCACCAGGTCGACGCTCTTCATGGTCATTAATTCCAAGGCAAATTTTAGTTTATTATTATGATGTGAATGGGTCCACGGATAGGGGCAGTGCCATCAACCCTACACCAAAGGATATCCATTTGGAGGAAAGATGTCGTCATCGAGAATATTGAAGTTGATCAAAGTTATTACAAAATTGACGAAATCAAAGTTGGAAAGAAGTCATTCGACCAACATTTGGCACTTGTGGCGCCCCGCGACACCGAAGTGTGCATTCCTGAAGAGAACGCAAAATCGTTTTCTAAGTTTGGATCCAGATCATGATTCATATGGGACATTGAAGAAGAAATGGTTTTCAGGGAACCGAATCCACCTATAGAGTGAGGTGTGGTCGAAGGAAATGACCAGTGAGTCAGAAGCGTTGGCTCAGATTTTGCCTATGTGGTTGAAAACAAAATAAAACCGGCTTTAGAAGCCGAAAGGTTGTAAAAACCGGTTGTTATAACTAATGCAGAAGATCGAGAAGGCTATTATGGCCAAACATCGGCTTTAGAAAACCTGGGGCTAGATTGTGTCTACGACAACGAGCCTTTGGGGTTTGAGAAAGACCCATTGAATTGGATGTAGAAAATGCAGGCCCAAGATACTTTAGAAGAAGTGGATCTAGGCGACAGCGTGACGAAGAGACCAACTTATATCAGTATGAAGATGGGTCGAAGATGAATGTTCGATTGGTTAGCTTGTTAAAAGAGTATAAAGATTGCTTTGCATGCGACTATGATGAAATGGTCGGTTTTAGTCGGAGCGTAGTGGAAAATCGTCTGCCTATCCAGCAAGGAGAAAATCCAGTAAAGCAACATTCTTGGAGATTCGCCTCAGAAATCACATTGTTGATCAAACAAGAGATCGAGAGACTGCTCAAGAGCAAGTTCATCAGAATTGCAAGTTATGTCAAATGGTTACCAAATAATGTTCCTATTATTAAGAAAAATGAGACTCTTATAGTTTGCATAGATTTTAGGGATCTAAATAAAGCGTCTCAAAAGGACGAATATTCAATGTCTGTGGTAGAAATGTTACTCGATTCAGTTCTAGGCTTCAAATATTTGAGCATGTTGGACGATTATTCTGGATATAACCACATTTTTATAATAGAGGAAGACGTGCCCAAAACGGCACTTCGATGCTAAGGGGCCTTAGGGATTTATGAATGGGTTGTAATTCCATTCAGTTTAAAAAATTCCTGAGCAACTTATCAAAGGGCCACGGATGCCATATTTTATGATTTTATAGAGCATTTTATGCAGATTTACATTGACGGTATCATAATAAAATCTTCATCTGAGGATCGTGACCAGTGGTTTTTACACAGAAATTTTGTATTTATTTTAGTCATCATTTATTTTAATTGACTTGTTTTTTATTTCATTTTACCGCATTTTATGTTGTTGTTTGGTATTTCAGTGTTTTTAGGTTTAAAAGAATAAAACAAGACAAATTGGGGAAAAAAAGTGTAGAATTCATAGTTCCAGGAAAAAAATGCTTCAGGAGCCCTGACACGGGTGGCCGTGTCACCTGACACGGGCCGTGTCAGGGGAAAGACTTGGCAAAGAGGCAAGGAAGAAGGCGACATGGGCGCCCGTGTCACACGACACGGCCCGTGTCAATTCAATTGGAACCAAAAATGTGCAAGAGCATATCACAAAAGGAGACACGGGTGCCCATGTCACGCGAAATGACCCATGCCAAGTTAGCTAAAGCGTACGATTTGGAGGAAGATTCACAGAAGCTGGCACGGGTGCCCGTGTCCACTGACACGACTCGTGTTAGCTCAGGCGCTGAAAATTCTTAAATTTGGAAATTTTTAGTGTTTTTGAACCCTGAAGGCTACTTTGGACTTTTAGCATCACTTAGGAAAAATGAGACTACTTAAACCTATTTTGTAGAAGAAAAAAAGGGACTTTTGGAACGAGAGAAGAATTGCACGATAGTAGATTTAAATCTATGCAAGTTTTGGGAGAACGAAGACCTTTCATGAGCGGAAGCAATTGAAGATCGAAGATTCCAATCTTATTGTAATGTTTACATCTAATATATATGTTATTTTACTTTTAAATATCATGTGCGGCTAAACCCCCAAATGCTAGGGGGTGTCCCTGATTTGCAATATTAAGAATACTGATCTCTTTGTTTTATTCAACATAAAGTTTTATGCGTCAATTTGATTGTTTAGAATAATTTATAGTTTTACCCTATGGGACCATAGGGTTTCACTGTTATTAACACATTAGAGTCGGACGATCGTGTTAAGGTTTTCTAAATAATGATATTATAGATGATTTCATCTAGGATTAGGGGAATCCTATGATAACCAGAATAGTTCTTGATAATTATATGCTTAACCTCAACACTATTTTGAATGGAAATTGAAATTAGGGTAGAAGTTAAAGGTTTTTCACTAAGGACTTATGGAATGATAATCTTAAGAATCGGTAATTGAGGTTGATGAATTTTTTGAAAAGATCAAAGAGTGAAGGTTATTTCAGGGAAAATCATACATCCCCCCTAGCATATTTTTATTAAAAAGTCAAAAGTCATTTTTTTTAATTTCTGTTCTTTTACATATGTGCAAGGATTTATCCAACCAAATCAAAACTATTTTTTTGTTCAATTGAATTAATAATAAAGCTCAGTATTTCCTACGTAGTCCTTAAGACCGATCTTTGGGAAAAATACCATTATTACCACATCAGTGAAAATAATACACTTGTTATTTTTCCGATCAATTTTTTTATGATGTTGTCGGAGACTACCAAAATACAGAGTTTCATTGTTATTCAATTGAAATTTTATTGCTCGACAATTAAAATTTCGTTTTTCAGTTATTTTTGTTTATTATTATACTTTCATTATTTATATCTAATCTTTTATGCGAGGTAAGGCCTCAAATGAACTTTTTTTGACACGAAGATCAAAAGAACTTTTCATGCAAGGAGAAGACAAGCTGAGTTAGCCAGACTGACTTCCGAGGAAGATATTTCCTCAATTCACTCAGAGCACCAAAACACAGTTCAGATTCAGAAACTGAGACCATGGGTGAAAATCCACCCGAGACTACTCGGTGACTATGGTGGAAGGAATGCACCGGCTGGTAGACTCACTATTGTAAACCACCCGATGAACGTACCAAATTTGTAGTTACATCCCAATACTATCACTCAACTTGAGAGAAGGTCATTTTCGGGAAGGTTGAATGAAGATGCTAATAAGCATTTTGTGATACGGTGGTAGAACTGACTGTTATACTGGTTTTGCATTTGTATTCACAAATGTTGCGGTAAGAAAGAGTCGCCACCGAATTTTCTTTTATCGAACAAAGGAAAGGGTGAAAAGAACAGAAAAATACCTTTCGAGATTATTTGAGTAAGGGGGTAGATTATGGAAAGAGAAGGTGTTAACACCCTTTCCATCCATAGTTATCTATGGGCTCTTAGATGCTTAGCTCATTTTAAAAGTACCTTGTGATTTGTGTGTTTTGAAAAATGTTTTGAAATGCCTTAGTGCGGTAATTCTCTTTGCGTTAACTCTTGTATCAGTCCTCAAGAGTGTTGACAAAGCAAATGTTTTTGAAAGTTACTTTTAAATGTGTAAGTGTGAAAAGTTTGTTTTATTTGAGCAAGCACCTAACACCTATCTACTTGTACTCAAAAAGGTCATTCTTTTCCTCCTATCCTTTAGACAGTGCTATCCTACTATTAGTGAGTAGGCAGCCTTATCGTTGGATGTTTAAGGGACATTCGAAGAGACGTACAGTCATAAAGGCAACATGTAAAGACACTTTAGCAATTTTTGTTTAGCGACTAGATCATTTACCGAAAGGCAACTGTAGGGTCATCGAGGGACTATGATATTTTTGATTTACGGGTCTTTGCTAAAGCGTCCCCGTTTTGAGGGACATGACTGTTTTATTTCCGAAGGCAACCAAAGTGGGATACCCTAGAGGTGTATATGTGAAAATGATTCAATTCAGTTTATTTGTCTTTGTTATTACGTTTGCTAGCGTTTTGTTATTAGTCTTTCCATACAAGCCTAATTACTAACAGTTAATATTTTGTAGAAATTTAAAATGCGGGAATTATAAATCCTACGCTA